TAACTTTCGCATAACTGTATCTGATTAATGTGTGATGGTAGTGCTCATACCAAAAAAAACATCAATTACTTCAAAGCTCAGAAGCGAAAAATAAACCAGCAGAACTTGAGTCACATTTGATATATTGTAGCTCCGGGATTGGAGCTAGAACCATAGTGATTTCAAATCAGCTCCTAAACCCTGTATTAAGACTTGAAAATTCACACAAGGATTTCCTGTGCGGAATAAAAACACATTTAGTGCAATGCTGATGTTAAATTTAATTTTGCAGAAGCAGAAAGGAAACTCGAGATCATTGTGATTTCATGATCATAGCTGGCTCTGAAGAAATCCCAGTTCATAAGAATATTATATCTGTAGGATCTGATTATTTCAAAGCAATGCTGGCTCATAATGTAAGTTGTGTTTATTCGTGTTTATGTGTTATCTCAGCCATAAACTGTTTGAGTTAGCTAACTCTCTCACAGTTCGTACTGTTACCCTTGTTAATGTGGGTTTAATCATTGGTATTATCACGCTTCAGAATGCTGAGACAGCGTCTGGTAAAGTGGAAATGAGGAAGTTGATCCATTATCCCTGCAACAATGCATAGAATATATTTACACTGGTGAATTGTCTACTACTGATGAAAATGCTGAATCTTTGATGTTTGTGGCTGAATTACTACAGTTGAAAGGTGATGATATAAAATAATCTTTCTTTCAGATTGTACTGAGGTTCACTCAACACCTCGTGATTCAAATCAACTAGACAATCTCCCACAAATGGATTATTTGTGTACATGGGCCTGAATTTCTATTGTTATTCTGGCTAGTTTTTTACTGAACAGAAAACCTGTTGGTTTTTATCTTATTCAGCTTGTTAATTAATCTGCCATATCATTATTTCCTACTTTAATTCCAAGTTCAACATGGTGACCCAAGGCAAACAGAATTTATGAATCACCTTCACGAAAATGAGGAAAATTCAATTAATAATTGCACTTTGCTCGAGTATGATTGCACCCAAAAGTTTGGTAATCTAAGATGCTTTGCGCAAAAGTTATGATTCAAATGACCTGAGTTCTGTTTTTTGGCCACTTGTAATCATTCCTCTACATTGCAAGGAAAGGTTCCGAAATAACTAAGAAAAGCCAAAAGCTCTGGGGGCAAATCAAAATAGATGTTTGATTGTTCATTGATAAATGTTTAAATATATATATAACTTCATGTATGTTTTTTTAAACAGATGTCTGTAAAAGCATCGTTGATTCACTCGAAGAAAATCTCGAATCGTCTGCGAATCATTTTTGCGACAAAAAGAATCGCAAACCTGTACAATTACAAAGAATTGATGGAAAAATGCGAGAAGTTCATGCTGGATAAATTTGAAGAAATTGCAGTTCTTGATGAGTTCAAGGAAATAGAGGAAAAGGATTTGTTGATTGATCAAGTCACAAGAAAACAAGGTATTTGCAGTGTTTTGTTTCAAATCTTCATTTTGAAAAGACTTTATACAAGTAGTCACTCATTTGGACACGGTTTTAGATTCTCAAGGTTTTAGATTCTTTTCATGATACAAGCAGCCACTCAACCTTCTGACTTGGTAGAACGCACTGCTTTACTGTATAGCAGGGGTGGCCAACACGTCGATCGCCACGTCTCGAGTAGTCGATCGCGTCTGATTTGTGTGAATTTATATAACATGCCCCCAAAAGTTACCTCCAACCAGTTTCATGCAGCGCCTGTTATGTTTCTTATAACAGTAAGAATATGGTACTGCACATGCGCAAAATACAGTACATTTTACATCCATGGTATTTGAGTCTGGGCAAGCCTAATAGAGCATATTATTTCGCAACAAATGCAAGTTTCGCCACTGCCAAGGTTTAGAAATGAACGTGGCAATTACTTATATTTGGCGTGGCATAAACATTTTTGCATATGCCATTCCTGACACTCACCTGGCTCCGTCATCCAAATTTTTATGTTACTTCGACCTTACAATCACGCCAAACAGCTTGCAAGACTACGACCGACTGATATGGCATCTTCGCCAACCATCACGAACTCACTTACGCCAGCAATCTTTCTCATATCGGAAACTGTGTGACGAGAAAACAAGAGACATAGTATGCTCGATTTTAGATGATCGTGTGCGCGTCTTGGATGAGGGTTGGTCTAATTTAGGGGGCCTTATTACGTTGCTTTGATGTCATAGCGACGTAATTTTTGAATGACATAATCTGTTGGGGTCTGGGAAACACATATGCAAAAATGGTTGTGCCACGCCAGCTAGAAGTACTTAACTTGTGTTATGAACATGGCCCGAATATTCTATATTGAATATTCTTGATGTTCTGTATTCTTTCTAGGCATCAGAGAGTGTGAAGCTGAAGGCTTTGATATCTTGGATAAAACATGAGCAAAGAAATCGCACAAAACTTCTGAAGAAATTGAACAACTACATTGATTTGCATAAAGTACCGGTGACTTATAGAAGATTCCTTGTTGAAAACGAGGTCGGTTATTTTCGAATTGATATTTTTAAACCTTTTATTTTTGCATCTTGCAATCTTTCATTTAAACTTCGACTTTGAATAGATAATTAAGAATTATCTTACAAAAGACCAGGGCTCATACTTTGGCAAGTTTTAATAATGAAACTTATTTTTAAATTACCACAAGTCCGAGTCATCAAATTTTTTTCAGAGTTGGAATTCCAGTCTTGAAAAAGTCTCTCCTTGTGCCAGAATTTTGTGGCCCAATTTTGCATTTCTCGGAGATTGAATGTTCGAATTTCCTTCAACTGAGTAAACTATTCCTAGATTCCAGATCAATTTTCTTTTCTCATATCATTTAATATTTATTGGATGACATAACACCTTTTGGTTATTTCAGCCAATGGTAAAGTCATGCCCTGAATGCTCTCCACACTACTCATATCTGTTTTGGACAGCTTAGATATTGGCGCTTCAGATGTTCACCCTGCTGAAGAATATAAAACAAGAAGGAAAAGAAGCAAGTGAGTTGAATTGATATGTAGACAGTATAGAATAACATCCGTCATCTAAAACCTAGAAACTTACCCAACTGTCGATTGGTTCCAATTCGAACAATTTTATAGGTTGTTGTCTTTTTTTTCATTTCTGATACAAAGTTTATTTCTTACAGTCGCAGTGTTCGATAAAAACTCAATGAGCCTTCAATGCTTTGATCCTCGCAATAATAATCCTTGGAAAAAAATGCAGGTTAGTATTTGAAAACCTTCAACTCGGTTATATCGGTCTAATCCAGTGTTTCCCAACCCGAGTCCGCGGTCCGCAACGAGCCAGAAATTCACTGCGGGCCGCAAACGTTTTTGCGAAGCTTAACTATCAGCCAAGTTACAATTTACGTTAGAATTTACATAAATCATATCAACTCTTATTCACATAACATTAATCAAGTCAATAATAATTGGTTACTGAGTAGGGCTGGGCATATATTCGAATATTCAACTTTTAGAATAGCAATTTACTATTCGAAAAATTGGTGGCATGTGACGCGACAGGTCACTCGCGCGTCGATTCATCGAACGATGAGATTTCACAACTCGCTTGCGGATTTCCAACGAAAACAAGAGTCTGCTGTGCACACGCGTCGATAGATACCTAAGTGGTGTTTCTCGCGAGTTCGAACAACGAGGAATAATTTTTTTTCTGGTAGGTGGTAATGGTGGCGACCCAAATTTCCTAAATTGAAAAGCGGCAATACAAAATACTGAAAATGAAAAGGAGAGCCCATAATTTTTTGTTTTATGATGGTCGCGACCAATTGAAAACACTTTTTTAGGCAATTTTCCCTTTGTATTCTTTGCTTCACTGCCCCCACATTGGTACGTGCAGTACTGCCGTAGGTGTTGTACGAACAGCTCAAATTTGTAGAATTCACAAAAATACGAATCAAAATATAATCGGGCACTTTACCACGCATTTTTGTGTCCACGGATTGTCATGATATTTTCTGAGTACTATTGCTTTTATTTCGTCAACACAACCGCAAATTAAAATGACCACAATTAAATTAATAATAAAGCAAAACGACGAATATGTATTTTTGATTTATAAATATACTTTAAATATATTTTTATTAAGTACTAAAACAAGTTGAACTTTCTGGAAATTTATAGCAGATAGTAAGATTTTTCTAACAGCGATAACAAATTCGCAAGATCGCCAAAAAATATGTATCAAAACTAAATATAATCGGGCAATATATGCTCACATTATTATGTTCGGAGATTGCCGTGGCATTTTAAAAAACTAATGCTTTCATCTTGTCATAAGTCGACGCAACCACGAGTCACTATAAACACAAACGAATTAAAATAGAAAGACATTTTAATAAATTCTCGTCGTTGTCATGGATTGAATGTTGTGCGACAGAAAAGGCCATTGTTGAAATTTGTTAAAATTATGTTGTGCTTGGTTTTATTGCCCCCTGCAATAAACGCACCTTGAGTCCGCAAAGGTTTTCGCCGGTGAAAAATAGTCCGCGACCAAAAAAGGTTGGGAAACGCTGGTCTAATCGTATTATACATGGGAAATTACTCAAGATAGGTAAAAAGTAATGCTCAAACCTTGTGTTTATCTGCGATTGGATTGCAAGATATGGTTGTGGTAGTTCCACATATGGTAATAATGCTTTACTTTTTTTATTTCGATTGTGCTTGGCCATCTTATCAGCTTTGATTTTCCCTTTCTCGGGATAAATTTAAAATCAAATACCTGACTTGTACGTATGTAATATAGGATTTACATATTTATCCCAAGGAAGAGGAAAGCCGATAAGACGGCTTAATCATATGGCTAACCATGGCGTTTTGTCCGTTTACCGGTCCATGTCGGGCATGGGGTTAGTTTTTTGTAAGCATTGACTGGATGGTGGAGGAAGCCGTAACCGACCAGCGGTAACGTGAACCACCCTACATCGGCCATGAGTCCAACAATCCTCCTGCACATAACCATCCTGTCATGGAATTTCAACTGGCGACCCCACGCAGGGTAATCAGAGATGAGGTCGAGATCGTATTTCTAACGCTTGGCATGATGTGCCATCCATGGACAAGGCCTTTTTAGGACAATTATTTGAGTGGTATTTGATTCTCTCATCCCACCACTCCCACGCATCTATCTACATTTAAACAAACATTTCTTCAATGTAATCTTGTTTATTAATATTTTCCAGAATCTACCTGGATCAGAATTTCGCTTTTCTGCTGTGGCTCTTGGTGACTACATTTATGTTCTCATGATTGATCGATCTGTTCATCGACTGAAATACTCAGATCATGAAGCTACTTGGAAGAGAATGAATGATATGATGTATGACCACGGGTATTGTCCTCCTGTTACTGTTTTGTCTGGTAAGAATTGCTTGAAAAATTCTTTTCCTAGACATTATCTTGTTACCTCTAACCCAGACTAGTAATTGAGTTTTTGAAATATCCTGTTGCTGTTTTGTTTGGAGTGAAGTTACCTCAAGAATTCTTAGTACTGGTCTGTTTAAGGATTTAATGAAAAACATATTTTAATAGCATTTGGTATCTAATTCCCAGTTCAGCCTTGTATTGTAACTATATCACTTCATTGTGGATGACCCGAAATTCTTCTGAGCGCTTTGTGCACAAAATACTGATAATTTTATTCTGATTTGTAAAACTTGTCACTTAATGAAAGTGTACAAATACAAATTATAGTTTCATATTAACACCATTGAAGAATTATAACACAATCTATCTGTGTAAGAAATCGTTGTGGTTTCATAAGATTTCAGTTCAGGCAAAACAAGGGTAAATGCCAAGAAAAAAATTGCCAAAATAATTAGGATAAAGTTACTTTGTTAAAACACGCAGATCCGGAATTGAAAAGACTTGAGTCTGTTATACAATACACTAACACTCCTGTTTTAAGATTACTAGTTTATTTGTGTTTGTATATATCCCATGAAAACTTTTATTTTTGGGTAATGTTTTGTCTTCCATTTCTATTGTCTTATCTATTATTATGATATGGTTTATATTTGTATAAATACCACGAGTAACGTTTGGTTTGCCTTAAGACAAATAGTTCTTTGCTTTATATTTTATTGTGTTTCGAGTATCATTTGCTTTCTACCATATGTCTTAGATGTGAATTGTTTACAGGAAACCTCTACATTGTTGGTTCTCCCAATTACTCAAAATCAGTTGAAATGTTCGAGCCATCAAGCAACAAATGGGAAAAAGTAAAAGACAAAAATCTCAACTATGCAAATTCAACAGCACTGGGTGCTAGAGGTTAGAAGGTGTTGTCTGATAAATAAATGGGTACTCCCGAAGTATGTGAACCAAGATGGCGGACACTGGAACGTAGTATGTATACCTGGTTAGGGTTAGGCCATAATTTCATGTACAAATACTTGGCCAGTCCCCGAACTCGTAAGAGAACTAAAATAAGGAAAATTGGAATACATTAGAGCTTAACCATAAATAACCTGGTACACATACAAAGTTCCGGTGTCCGCCATCATAGTTCACATACTTCGGGAGCGCCAATAAATGTCATTTACGTTGAACTGGATCGAATCAGGCAGTCACATAATAGAGTAATAAATGGAATTGTCGGTGGGCCATATAAACAACTTCAGAAAATTAGCTGGACCGATAAATGCTCTGCTTTACAGTAATAAGAGCATCGGACGAAACGGTGAAGTATTTAACACATCAAAAAGAGCATAAAAGCATGTAATTTTACCCATGTGGGTGACTATTTAAACATATACTGTCGGATTCAACAGCACTGGGTGCTAGAGATTAGAAGTTGCGTTGAAGTGGCTCGAAACAGGCAGTCATACAATAGGGTAATAACTGGAATTGTCGCTGGGCCATATAACCAACTTCTCTGCTTCACAGTAATAGAGGCACCGGTCATAACAGCGAAGTATTTAACACATCAAAAAGAGCATAAAAACATGTAATTTCGCTGATGTGAGCGGCTTTTTAAACATATACTGTCGGATCAACTCTTGATGGGGATAAATCTGAGTGTTGACATGGGCAATGGATAACGTTGCGGACGCTAAATAGCTTTGTCTGTTGTCAACCCCTGGTCTGAACACAAACAGGAAAAAATTCCGTTTTTCACTGACCAGTAGGTCGTTTTGTATCAGTGGTTGCTTTGTTTTTTGAAACAAACTTGCAATACACTTCCGGTAAATATAAATGACTGCCAACAGATATCGGATTTATCAGGTTGTCCCAAGTTTGGAATATACCAGAATGCAGAAAACACTTGAAGTAATAATCCTTGTATGATTCCAGGTTGTATATACAGCATTGGTGGCTATATATCAGTCGTGTAGAAAGATTTGACCCAACATCATCAACTTGGTCATTTGTTGCATCCATGAATGAAGTAAAGAGATTGATCGCAGCTGTTGAAAATGAAGGAAAAATATATGTTCTAGGTAGGTTGGTGTTTGTTGCTAAAAATGTACGAGGACTCAAGAAAAAAAAAGATTTTAGTTTTTCATAAAAAAGCAATTAACCAGAATATTTCAATGACTGTGCTTCAAGGTATCAAAGGCAATGCCAACATGTAAGCATCGTCATGAACTACTAATATTCCAAACGTGTTATTCTGCAAAATCGCAGAATTATATTGTGATGTGACAAATCATGTTCAAATGTTTGTATACCTATATACTTACACGAATGCAAAGGTCAATCCAATAGCCGTGTAAACTGTAAACTCATAAATACATTTGGTAATGTTACTAGAGACGGCTGTAACGACGTATATGTAGTTGAAATTTAGAGTGATTATCAGACATACTGAACAAGTTCCAAAATCTTCAGTTCAGGCTAGTAAAATTTTCCGCATTATATTCATCACCTTGCAGTTGTTAC